GTTCCATCTCAGAGCACAGCATGTGAGACAAATTTTTGCAAAACAAAACAAAACATCAGCTGTTTTGAGGCCTCAAAACCTGGGGAGAACAGCCGTGGCCCTGCAAGCAAACTCTGCGGAGCTGTAGTTGGTGTCACAGCAAGAGCTGTCATACCCCCGTGCTCAGGCTGGCGTCGGGACTGCCTGGTCCTGCTCAGGTGCTGATCCCAGCCGTGGGCATTTCTGCAAATGTAGCACTGTGTGTGTGTCTCTGACCCTGAATCGCGCTGTGACTGGAATTTTAAATCCGAGTGGTACGTCTGCCTGCGAGGAGGAAAGGAGAGTTTAGCATTTAGCTCTTGCAGGGGACACTGGGGAAACCTTCAGGAACTTCTGTGCGATCTTCATCTCTGCTTTCAGATTCATCATGAAACATCTCGGGCTGGAAGTGGTGTTTCAGGTCCCATTTTTAGAGAACATACATAAAGGAATTACGGGATTGCAGGAATGGGAGAAAAGTGTGGGGATATTTCCACGCGCTCCCCTAAACACCCACTGCCCGTGTGGCTGCAGCAGCCTCTCCCCTGGCTGGGCCAGCCTGGCGGGCGCGTTGTGTCCCCAGGGCACCAGGCCTTCCAGGGCTTTCCTGGGCTTTTCCTTGGCTGCTGGTGCCATTCAGTGGGTTGCCTCTGCTCACCTGTAGGGCATCTAAAAATAATATCTGGTTTTAGAGATGGAGGGCAGTGGCTTCGTTAGGAAGCTGATTTTCTAAGATTCTTAAAAAGAAAGTATTGAACTTCTGCATTCCTGCACATTTTGTGATCCTAGATTTCACAGTCATCAATAAAACGGTGGTTTGGAACATATCATAGGTATGAGTTCTGTGGTATTACTAACAGAGCTCGGCCCAGAGCATTTGGGTCTTTGGATGTTTCTTCCTAATCCTCTTGTTTCACACGCTTCTGGTTTCGGTCAGGCAAATCATCCTAAGGGGAGCGATTCCATAGGGTACTAGCAGGGGTTTGATGCCAAGTGGTGTCTCTGTCAGGTGGAAGTATGTGACACCAGTAGATGCACTTCAATGTGAGCCTCTCATGGTGAAAAAGTTGGCAAGAAGCCCATGGTATCTTAAAATTAATTATTCTTCTGAAGCCAAGATGAAAAAAATGAACAGTGAGGCAAAACCAGGCAATACAATTACTCTCAGATGAGGCAAAATAAACCATATGTCAGCTACACCTTAAAGCCAGGGGGGTGCTGCCTTTGTTTTTCTCAACGCAGTGTTTTTGCTGAGGTATTACAGGACGCGTTGTGCATCCCACAGCAAAGCCCTGGCATTTGGCTGGTGCCTGGCATGACAGCAGCAATGCTACACCGTCTTTTTAATTAATTAATACGGGCCTTACCTTACAATTAGCCGTTGAGGCGCTGGCAATGCCTGGGCAAATATTTGAATTTCTGTTTGTTGTTATTGATGATGTGATTTTAACATCTGCTGAGTACAGGAGATGTGGAAGCTGATGTGCCAAAAACCAGCTAAATAAATAAATAAAGGGAAGCCCAGCTGTTCCTAGCAGGGCATGGGCTGGGCTCCCTCAGCTGCTCTGACACAGCTGGTGCTGAGCACGCAGGCACTTGCTCCCTCGTGGCGCTGAGCCCGTGGCTTCTGTCCGCTGCGAGCCATTTGCAGCACCTGGAGAAGGGGCAGCAGAGCTCGAGTGGGGGCCCCGGGCAGCAGGGCTGGGGGCATGGACGTGGCTCCGGGCCTGGTGTGACTGCATGGCTGGGATGGCCCCGGCTGGAGGCGGCGCCGCCCTCGAGCTTAACAAATCTCATGAACTTGTACAGAGAAAAAGGTAATGAATGGGATTCTTGCCTCCGAGAGGAAAAGAATACAGAATGATGCCCTAACCCTGTAGGAACAGGGTGATTTGTCATTTTAAAAGCTCTATTTCTGTTTGCTGTTTATGTGGCACAATCCCAGCCATTACACTGGCTGTTAAATTAAGCACAACGTCTCAGGAGTTGCATTGTCCAAGAAGCTGTGTTGTAAAAAGGTACAGGAAAACATTGCAGCTCAGCCTGTAACACAGTAATGTAACTGCTCTAGCCATGGCAGGAATATTTTTCTTGTTTCTTCTTCATCTGCTTTGCCCACAGGGATAATAAGCAGAGAGAAAGCAAACTGTTGCATGCTTGTGCATTTACACGACTTCTAGAAGCACAGCAAAGACCTTTTGGTGTTACTATTCAGTACCAATCCAATCCTTGTTAGTGCGTTTTGCTATTTACACGGGTCATGTTGGAGTTGGAAGAGGGGTCCCCGTTGATCTGTGTTACAAAGACTGATTGCACCAAGGATGAGATTTTAAAGCTGTTTTATAACCTGAATCAGCAAACTTGTTTGAGTTCATTGATTAAAACTTGGCAAAAAGTCATTCTCAGCTGGGAGGCGAGGCAACTTCAAGTCTCCCTGACTTTGCGGAGAAGGCTTACAGCAACCCAAAGCCTTTGTGTGGCACAGCACTTAGTTCTGTAACAGAAGGCAAACGAGGAGTGTTTCACCTCTCAGCTAGGGCTGGGCAGGCAGGCAAGGAGAGCACCTGGTGAGGCACCACCTTTGTCGCAAGCACTGGGTGACTATTTCTGGAGCAGAGGCCGATGCACCTCGGAGCCAGCTGCAGGACCGACGTGTTCCCAGCACCTTGCTGAGGCAACATTAAGCACAGGCAGTGCTGGAGGGAGATGTTCTGGCACTCTCAGCACGTACTGCCTGGGTGTCTCCTTCCCTTACCCTTCCCTTGTCCTCCCCCTCCTCTCCAGGGCAATTTCACATGACTTGGCACACAAGGCAACAGTGACAAGCCAGCAGCCTTTTGCACCAGGCTGCAGTTTGGGAGGGGTCTGGCACAAACTCAATGCCCTTTTCTTCTTGCCCTTGCTATAGCTCTGGATGAAGGCAGCAGCTCCCATATTCTTTTTGAGCAGTTGCTGAGATTGCCCTGCCCTTAACCAAAGAGAGAAGAGGGATGGAAATCTGGGCAGGCACCTACACTCTCCCTTTTGCTCTCCCTCTTTTTGAAGCCCCTGGGTAAAGAAATGTTGGGGAAAAATTGTAATTGAAAAAATTAGGATCCATCATGCTTTATGGATGGTGTTGTTGCTGTGGTAAAAGGGAAACAAGAGCTCTCAGAAAAGCAGAGTGTGCCTGAAATCACAGGTGTTAAAAGCTGGTGCCAGCTGCAAGAGAAAGTTAGATTAATTATACCAAATTCAGCAAAAAAAATGAAAATAATGTTTCAGGTAAGAGCTAGGGGAGAAAACATTCAGCATAAATCTCTGACACCATTTCTATCTCTAAGCTGGAGGGGACAGACAAAGATAGAAGTACTTTAATAGAAGATTGGAAATGCCTTTGTACAGTGAAGCTGCTCTATTCTTATTCCTTGCTTTGGGTAGGGACCCTAGACAACGCCTATCACCAACCCTCCTGTGTAACTGTCTCAGTCCAAGTAGGGTTTGGATTGGCTCTTAAATTATTTGTCTTCTGGCTTCAACTGAGAAAAAATATCTGATGTGACTTAGGAGATCCATACAATTCATTCCATTCAGGTATCAGAGAAAAAGAAATCATGAACCATCACCTGCGATTAAATCAATCTGGTGACATTATGTTCTGCTCGCAGACATTGTGCAGCCAGAAAAAGAGCTGGAGTCTTCAAGTAGGTTCCTTGCTGTGCATTAAACCAGTAGCTTGTGTTGTTGTGTTTTTTTTTTTTTCCACAGTGAGGTAAATCAATGTGCTAAAAGTAAAACTGCAAATCAAAGCAGTAAAGTTGGTATCATCAAAACAACAACAAAAACAAGTAGTGGTAAATGTTCTGTTATTGGTGTCCTTAGACAAGTCCCCCATCAAATGAAACCAGGTGGTACAGACAGGCTTTATCAGGGGTGATCCAGCAGAGTGATTCCTTGTCCTCATTTGTTGCCTGATAGAATTCCCCTTCCCTACAGGCTGGTGTAGGGGCACCGTGCACAGCTATTCAGGATCAGCCACATAGGGCATGAATTATGAAAATACATTTTTATTGACTTTTCACTCTATTAGTTCCAAACCCCTTGTTTTCAGAAAGAAAGCTGAAAGAAAGCTGGAGACATTTAATAAGATTAGTTACCACTGATGGTATTTTAAGATCTCTTTCAGTAGCTAATGAGCAAGCAGACAGGAATCTAAAGATGAAACCAGTTACTCAGTGCTGTTGAAACCTTTAGAAAAAAGGACAATGTCTAACATTAAATAGCTATGTATAATTAACAGAAAATTCTGAACAAATGGTATTAATGTTCCTAGGCAGATGATTTGGCTATTTATTTGCTTATCTTATTTCAGTAAAATTTTTATGTGGTTGAAGCAGAATCCCCTCTAATGAAGTGTCACAACTTCAAGTCATCGACTCCTGCCTAACTAGTTCCTTAGCATTACCATGCAGCCTTTGTGTAGCACAATATTTGTGATTAATCGGAACAAGGAAGTACAGTAAGTAGAAGTTTGCAAGTTAAAAAGAAACACAAAGCTTCCATGCAAAACTACCATTTATCTATGCTGTTAAATGCAGTACACCAAGTTGTGAGATGGTGTTTCCAGTATGTAGGACTAGCAGGTATTTACCACTCTCTACCAGTTGGAGAAGATCCCTTTTGAGGTATTTGCTATGCTGTATTAAATTTGGTAAATATTTTTATCATCTGTGGCATCATTGATTCTGGAGGTTTTAGAGCCATTTGCAATTTCTCATTTCTGTCATGTGGGCTATGGAACTTGGTTGTGACAGAGATCATCTAAGGATGAGCTTTGCATTTTATTATCAGCTTGGTCGTGCAGTAGGATTACTCTGATACCTCAACAGTGAGCCTTCCAGGTGAAATTCTCCTTTTGTTATGCCCACTGTTTTTTGAGACTTTTTCTTGCAGTGGATTAGCTGGTAAATCTCTGCTTACTCTGGGCCTCTTTGCATTAACAGCCCTGCCATCTACAAACCAGCCTGCAGAAGATGGATTTCTGAGGTGAACTGTCCTGCACCGATAAGCATCTCTGATAAAAACCTGATATTCGCTGTGTGATCCAGGAGAAGAGACGCGAGGATCCATCAGAACATGTCCCTCCCTGACCACCACAGGGCTGCTTCCCAGAAGATGGTGCTCTTTCCCCGAGACTGGTGAGGGAGACCTTGTAAGTACAGTGTTCACACAAAGTGTGGGCATTCTAGTGGATGTCAATGAATTCTTTTTCTTAGCTGAGTTAAACAAGAGAACACGAACATGTTGACCATAGATACTTTATTACGAAATAAAACTTTAAAGTTCTTACTTTTTTATCAGTAAATGACACTTAACTATAGTAATGGTACGTGAAAGTAAACGAAGTTGTTAAAAGAGCCCAGATGCCAAACTCTTATTTTCTTTTTCACCCTGGAAGCAACTTTGTGACTCCTTGGCAGAGTTGGGCATATAAAACTTTGCAATTTTCTTGGATATGCCACTTGATTAGGAAGATGGTGATTTGTCTTACTGACAGCAATCACTTCCTTTTTGCTGGAAGTCAATCCATTAACTCCTTTCTGGGGTAGAGAGAGGTATTCATTCCTAGTGTGCTTTGGTTTCTAACTGTGACTAAGACTGAGGGGGATTTTAAATTTCCATGTTGAAAACCAAGTGAAAATGTAATGAGCATAGAAGACTGATAGAAAAATACATATGTTAGTTCTTGCTAAAGTAAGGATGGTTTGTGGGAAGCTACAAATCATGTAGAAGGTGTTCTTCGTGTCAGGACTGCAGCAGCAGAGCCCTTCTGGTATCAGGTGCTGCAGGAAATAACTAAATGAGAATTTGAATACATTAATAATAGTCTGACACTTCTGAATTTAGTGTTTGATCTTCTTCCCTTAAAATTAGTGCTATATCTCCCTCTTCTTCCCTTCCCTGCTCACTGCCAGATTTGGTGTAAAGCTCTTGATCTCATTTAAGCCTGGACACATTGAGGAGACCCTGTGGAAACTGAACAAAACTATCGTTAATAACACCAAATAATTAGCAGCGTCCCAGCTTCCACTATTTTGGACGCTGAACAGTGTTACTTTTCATTTTACTGCTCTAGATCAGATACTCGTTTTTTACAGCTTACATGTGCATTATCTAAACTGCAGAAAAGATTATGAGGAAGGGAAGTTTTGTAAGCGCTGATGTGGTTGCCATGACTACCTAAGCCACTTTGCTGGTACCATACAAGTCTTTCACTTTAACTGTCTAGATTTACACAAACAACATTTTTGTGTGCGAGAGAGAGACTGAAGAAACAAGGCTCAAGCCTCGATATATGTGGGGTGTGTGACATCCAGCTGAAGTTAATGTGTGCTTTTTTTTTGTTTTGGTTGTGGTCTTCCCACTCCCCATTCACACTCACATCCCCTTCCAAAAAAATCAAACGGTATGTGTATGTTATCTGCCTCGGACTGAGAGAGACAGGTCAAAGCTATTTGCTAATTTTGGCTGAAGCGAGAAGGTCTGATGTCCTGGCAATCAGCACCACAAATGATCGAGTGAAGTGGGCTGCTTTGACTTATCCTGAGGTGCAGACATCTTCAGTGAAGCTGCCAGCATTCAAAGAAATCTGATCGTTTACATAGCTTCAGTTTTTGTGTTCCTGCTCCCTTTTCCTTGGCACTAATTGTGATGCTTGCAAAGCCACCCCAACTCTTCAGCATTTGATTTTCTCGTTGGGTGCAGTGCAGTTGGATGTGCCTTTCTTTTTTGCCCAGCTTAGAAGAGAGGAGGAAGGGGACCAGAACAACTGAAGGGTCTCTGTGAAGAGGCGCAGACAGAAGTTTCCCTACACCTCATTAAAATAACAAAGAAATAGCAAACCAGTATCAGACTATAGAGATGCCATACATATTGAAATCTGCTGGAACCAGACCCATAAATAATCATTTCCATGTCTTTGCACCTCTACAAGCACCCAGGTGTTCAACTGTACTGTCAGAGGGGCCCAGACAGACCGTTAACATGGCCAGAGGAGTTTCAGCTGCTTTTGTTCTTTGAATGTGACTCAAGCAGAGACTGTGTGTATGTGTGCAGGGTATTTTGAGTCCTGTAGTTGAGAGAAATGTGCTGAATGCAGCTTTCCATTGCTGCTGTTTCCTTGTGCAGATCAGATGGGTTCTCCCCTGGGTGTTTCTCTTCCCCTTGAGTCACTTGGTCATAACACGGGAGGGGTTGCAAGTTCTTGAGGAGCGACATTCCCCTTGCTGTGACAGTTCATAAACCTCTTCCTAAGGGCTCGTAAAGTTGGGACAGCTGGGACACGCAGACACCCTCTGTCACAGGCACTCAGAAAAGTGCAGTTAAGCCTCCAAAGTCTTTTTTGGCTTTCCTTTTAGGAAAGGGTTTGCTAAGTGACAGACTGATGCATCATTTGCAAAGGAACAACCAGAAGTAGGAGTAGTGCAAGTCTAAATGTTAGCATATTCCTGATGCTTTATTTCAGGAAAGATGATGAACACAAACCTGATGGGTAATCAAAGCAAGAACAAGGAAAAAGTACTAAGTGTGTTTAAGATATGGAAGAGATGTAACATGCTCTGGGCATGGGGTCTCCAAAACAACAAGGGTCAGTTTAAGATAAAGTTTTGTTGCTAGGAGACTGTAACCATGAAATAGAAATGCTGGTTAGTTGACATACTTGAGAGAGGGTGGGAAAAGACATCTCAGTGTCTGTGTTATGTCAAAAACATAAAACAACATAATTATTTTGGAAAAACTAACTACAACAATACAAATCCAAACAGCAGTAAATCCACCCCAAGTGCAAATGGTCACAGGCTCTGGTTTAAAGTTTGATTACAAGAATGTAGCTGGAGTTAATAATTTAGATGACCCAGCAGTTAAATCCTCTGAGGAGGATGAGGAAAAAGATAAGAAAAGAGAGGTTAAACATATGCAGCTGCATCGCTCTTCTAGCGCTGAATCAACACAGACCTATAGGAGAGTGGGCAGCCCAGGTGATAGGAATTGTAAAATCTGTACACGTGCTGCTATGCTTTGTGCTTTCCTAAAAACCTTAAGAATCTGAGAAGAGCCAATACAACATAAAAAGAAAGAAATGTGAAAGATTTCAGAAAAATCTAAAAGAAAAAATAAAAAAAAAAAGGAGGGAGGGGGGAGGTAAGGACAGAATTTCAGAAGATACAGTGCTGTGGTACCACTAAGCAAACCCAGGCCACAGAGGCACAGCATGAAGCTCTCTAAAGTTCTAGATAACAAGGATCAAGAGGATAGTGGGATCCAAGAAAAGTCACCAAAATTTGGTAACCTGAAGTCAATGGCGTTAAAGGAATGATGATAAAGCTGTGTTGGGATTACATAGCTGCCCTCGTTGCTGATGGTACCCATCAGTAACCTTTACCCATTGTGCAGGTATGGATAAAACTGCAGTAAAGAAGACAAGCCCCAGGAGCCTGGCCAGGTCATAATGGTAACATGAAAGGAACAAGGAGCAAAAAGGAAGCACTCTATTAAAAATCTCCTCTTTTGTGTTCCTCATGGTCAGAGGAAGAAAATAATTGTCCATCTGATGAGGTAGTTTTTCATTCCTCGTTTTCTCCTTGCTGCTGACAAAGCTGGCATATACCTGCATAAAAGAAAGCATCTGCAAAATGCTTCTGTAGCTAGCGGCAACATGAATGAAGTTTCAAATAAAATATTTTCATATCCTGATATGCTTTAAAATCTGATCAAGTGTGGTGAGAATTTGGAGTTGTGAAAGCTTGCAGTGCAAAAAATTTTAGGTTATTCAATATTAATATTATAATAAAGTCAATAATTTATGCTAGGAATACTCAAAAATTGCAAAATGTAATTTAATTATTTTGCCTGTAGGGAAATGGTGAAAAAATGGGTTGTGCTTATTTAACTTAATTTTGGTTTCTTAGCATGAGGTTTATAACTACTTTAAGTATGCATGTTGTTTGTTTTCATTAGCAGTAATTGACCAGTAAACATAGTAGCATACTTTCTCCTGGAAAACTCGGCTAGTATGTCTCTGTAGTAAGGAGCTCTGGCCAAAAATACCATACAGAGTGCACCTCAAATGTATCATCCTTGAGACTGGCTGCCCTTAACATATATGCATCCATTACGCAGTACAAACTGCAGGTCCCGTGGGTTGATGTCTTAATGCTGTAGGTTGCAGAGCGTTAGCTCAGAAATGCACTCCCCAAGCTGTGCTTAGACATCTTTATAACACCCCAGCAACCAGAGAAGGTTTATTTATGTAAGTCTGGCTCTAAATTTGGAAGAAGCAGCATAGATCATCCTGCTTGCAAATATCTTTCACCTGTGCCTCCAGAGTCAGCAACTGCCTGGAGGAAATATTTCTGCTGATAATACCATGAGTACAGATACTAAATGCTTGGAGACACAAATATGTCCAGAGCAGAGATATACAGTCAGCTGCCATAGTGTCTTTTTAAAAAAAGAAATCCAGGGCTTTACTCTTTCTTTACGTGCAGTTCTGAGAGCTGGCAGAGTTCATACCTGCATATTTCGGCAGCAAAGGCAGGTGCTTAACATATCCTAAATTACCTCTTAGAGCTCAGATTTCCATCCCTGCCTAGACGTAGTGTGAGCAGCAGTCAGTCCCATGTCTCCTGTCACAAGAACTTTACCTGTCAGTGCGGGTGTGATATACAGACACAGCCAGAAGCAACACCCCTTAAATCCTAAGCTAGAGAAGGCAACGTTGTCAAGTAAACAATTTTTTATTGGTATTTCTCATCTGCTCTGTTTTCATTGTGACTTTGGCTGCTCTGCAAGAAGCATAAAGTTGGGTCTGGAACTCTGTTTTCTACATCTCGGGTAGCTGGAAGCTGCAACGTTTCCCTCAAGATACCAAACAAAAAAAAAAGTACACACACACACACAAAAAAAAGTGCACAGAACTTTCCTTCGCAGAGATTGCTGCTTCTGGGGCGCACAGAAGGGCTATTGGACAAAGGGCATCCGTGAGCAGAAGACATCTGTTTCCCAATCAAGCATGTTAGCTACTAGGTCCCCCTGACTCTCCAAATTTTGTTCCCCAGCTTTCAAAGCCCAGTTTAAGCCCTGGCTACATTCTGTGTGTGTTTGGATTAGATGGTTGTGCACAACATATCTTTCTCTTCTTCCTCCCGGACG